ATGTTGGAATCTAGATACAATTTGCATCCACGACTGCATAACCAAATCAATGCATAAACCTAGACCCTCAAAATCCAAATTAACACACCAGTCACCACTAGTAATCCCTTGGACCGAGATCAATAGGTAGCTAGAGAAAATGGCAGCCTGGTATTTTTAGCAGAATAAAAAGAACAAAAATGCAAACCGGATCCGACCCTAAACAAATCTGAGTTACAACGTTCGATATAAAAACAAAATTCCGCCATTCGATATAACACACAGGAAACAACTAGATCTCATGATCTCTGCATCGACCGAAAACCCTAATCCACAGATCGCTCTGCGTCATCCCCGGGGCCAACCGATCCATCGGCGAGCGAGCCGCCTCCCACTCCCAGATCTCTGACGAGACAGAGCCGAGAAGGCGCGCAGAAAGCCTTAAAACCTAGAAGAGTAGAAGAGAGAGAGAGAGAGAGAGGTGGATATGATTACTGATGGTGACGTCGCCGTCGGGGGACTGGAGCATCTTGTCCATGCCCTTGGGGCCGAGCGAGGTGCGGAGGATGCGGGCGACGGCCTTGCCGGCGGCGATGTTGGCCTTCTGGGCGTCGAGGCCGCGCAGCCGCGACTTCTTCTCCTGCTCACGCAGGATGATGAAGGGGCGGCCGAACTCGTCGAAGGCCAGCGCCATGGCTGACGCCTCCTCCTCCTTCTCCGGCGATCGGAGGAGACGGCGTGGGGTGGGGTGGGGTGGGGTGGCGGCGCGGGGGGGGGGAGTGGCGGTGGCGGCGCGGGGTGCGAGGGTTTGAGGGTTTTCTGCTGTCTTCTTCTACTGCGCTTCCTCGCGGGCTCGGCTCCACCACCAGAGGCAAAACCCTCTCGCCGACCTGGGCCGGGCCGGGGTCACCCCATTGGAGCACGGTGTGAGTTCGGCCCACTTCTGAGGCTATTTTGAGTGTTGGAATAAATCTATTTTGCCTCCCTCACGCGTCTTGGTCGGTTGCTCCTAGCTGAATCGCATCGCTCGAACCAGGTGTAACGCCTTTCCCATCTTCGAAAACTGGTGCAAATCGTCTCCTTCGATGTACTACAGAACCGGGTATAACGCCTCCATGCCGTTGGCATCTGCAGGCGCTCCGTATCCCCCGCCGTCGTATCTCTGCCGCCGCACCTTAGCCTTCGAGCGCTCCGCCCTCGCCGCCGGTCGTGCCACCCTCACCTCCGCCTCCATGCAGGGCGCACTTGCGCTCCTCCTCCATGGCGAGTGTGTGCGGAAGACGAGATATGAAAGTAAAGTGCATAACTAGTTGTATTATTATTAATCGATAAAAATTAGAAATATCGATTTATTATTTTAGAAAAAAATATTAAGCTATATTTTTTCGTTGATTTGAGAAGTTCAATTATATTTTGATAAATCTCCGTTATCGTATTCGTTCTGTTTTCGTATTTGATAATATTCAATTCATTTTCATATCCAGATTTCTGATTTTGATTTCGAGAAAAATATGAAAACTGAAACAATAACGGTGGTTTTTGTTCGTTTCCGAACCGTTTTGATACCTACTAGCTGAACACTGAACAGCACGAGCTAAGGGCCTGTTTGGCACAGCTCTAGCTCCAGCTCCACCCCTCCTGGAGCTGGAGCTCAGCCAAACAGTTTCAGCTCCTCCAAAACTGGGAGTAGAGTTGGGTGGAGCTCTCTCACAAAATGTACTAGAGTTGTGGAGCTGGGTTTAGGCAGCTCCACAACTCCACTCCAGCCTCAACTCCTGAAGTTATATTTAGGAGTTGGAGCTATACCAAACAGGCCCTAAGATTCTAGTACAGGTTCAGCTCTCAATTCTCATTCTCTCAAGGCTATCCATTTGTCGTCTATTGTCTGACTATCCTTCACTATCGCACGAGAAGCATCAAGCGTGAAATATCTAGATTGTTCTCCATCTGTGGACTAGTATTGTACTTTTTCAAAAAAAAAAAAATTGTACGTCGATGGCTCACATTCATTCTTCTTGTTTTGTTTTTTCTCAACTTGATGGTCTATATTTTGTTGCCTATGTGAACCAATGAAGTGTTTTGAAATCATTTTGCTTTCACTATATGCTAATTTGTATTAGTATTTTTTTTGGATAATTTCAATAGGCAACAACCGTTTCCCCCCTATTTCTCCCATATGGCGAGTAGTAGAAGAATTACAGTGTAAAATGTGAAAATTATACTTTTAAGTATGTGAAATCTACTACTCCTATGTAAATACATGTTAAAAAAATCAAACTGATTTTGATTAAAAAATATGGCTTCATAAATAAAAAAATGTTAAGCGAATAGGGTGCCCAGTAAAATACTTACTTCCGATTTACTAGAGTTGAATGATCTATAGTTAGATTTGTGAGCGAGTAACTTGCACCCAAATGACGTAACCGGAGGCGATTGAGAATAAGTTAGTTTACATGGTGTTTGTTATTAGATGTTATCTTTTCATAGACTAGCATAATGCTCGTACATTGTAACAGGATTCTAGATAACGTTCATTGACATAAGTTAAAATCCTAAATCATATATCATAATATCTTAAATGATGAAACAAATATAATCATAGAAATAACAACATAAAACTACAGCTAACTTTGGTCAAAACGATGATTTAATATCATGAAAATTATATAATTAGATCGCCATTTTTTTCATTTAGCTATAAATAATTCAATACGGAGGAAAGTTATAAGTTTCAATAATTTTTAATGGATCAAATAGTGCTAAAACTAATATTGTAAATGAAAAAAAGGTTGAAATTAGCTAGAAATTTTAAAAACTTATTTTTGGCCATAGATCAAGATCCGATCCATTAATTCTGAACGGGTAGCCATTTCATTTATATATATTAGAATTTTCCTGTTATATGCATATTCATATGGTCTCGATATTACTTGAGTGGTTCATGAGCATGGTTGAGCTGGACCATAAAGGAATAATGTCAAACAGGCACAGTTCATCGTCTTCCCTAGCCGAAGGTGAGAAATAGAATAGAAGGAAAGATTGGCCTAGTGCTCCCACGACCAAACAACGGTCAGAAAGGTGGTAGGATGTGTTCAGGATGTGACTCGTCCATAGACAGTGGAGGTTGGCAATGAAGCAAATCAGAACCGTAGAAAGCATTCAACATCAACGTGGTACCGGAAGAGAGAGAAACGGCAACGGCGAGTTCTGGTGGTGAACACAGTCGGGTGAGTGCATCAAACGTGTTCCCAAATGAGGGGGTTCCGTTTTCCTTAAACGCACAGGAGGAACATAAGACAGAGAAAAAATGATTAACATTGTTTCATCATATTCCCTAGCTAAAATGAGAAACAGAATTGAAGGGAAGATAGGCATCAGTACTCCGGTGACCAAAAGGTGGTGAGAAGTGGCCAACGTGTCCTTCGATGTGACTTGTTCATAGATGGTGATGGATGGCAATAGAGAAAACTAAAACAACAGGAACACAACCAACAACAACATGGTCCCTATAGAGAGAGAAGCGACAACGGTGAGCTCTTGTGGTGAAACGACTGGATCAGTGCGTAAAAACATGTCCTATGATGAGTGATGGAGTTCTTTTCTACCTTCAGTTGGAAATTTAGAAGAAGAATCGAGGCTTAGATTGTTGTTCTTCTTTTACCGTTTTGTTAAACTTTTATTTGGTATCCCCATGTAATGGGTGGAGTCTTATGTACTCTTGATTGTGGTTTGGACTGTGTACACCTTCTACGGTGTAGAGGCCGGGTTAATATAATCCATTATCTAAAAAAAATGATAAGGTGTTCCTTTTTCTTTGAACACGCCGGAGGAAGTTGTCTATAGATGATGGTGGTTGGCAATAAAGAAAACTAAAACAATAGGAACACGACCAACAACTCCCGATAGAGAGATAAACGACAACGGCGAGCTCTTGTGGTGAAACGACTACATGAGTGCGTGAAAACATGTTCCAAGATAAGAGTGTTCCATTTTTCCTTGAACGCGCCGGAGGAAGTTGTCCATAAATGTGATGGTTGGCAATAAAGAAAACTAAAACATCAGAAATAGGACCAACAACGACATGGTCCCGATAGAGAGAGAAATGGCAACAGCGAGCTCTTGTGGTGAAACGATGAAAAAAAATTGAAAATATACCTCCTTTTGAAATATATTGCGTTTATATACATGCATGGAGAAGAATTGCAAAAATATACCTCTCCCGCAGAACGGGGACGTGGGACCGCTCGCTCCCGTGGAATGAGGACGCGGGACCCTCGCTCCCTCGCGGGACGCTCCCGCACCCGCGCGCAACAGCCCGGCACCCGGCGCGGTCACGCAGGCCTGCCCTGCGGCATCGACCAGATACGGTTGCAAGCGTGTGTGTATGCATGCTTGGGTGCATGTGCAGCGGGCTGCTCGGTCACGCGCGGCCGGCCTGAGTGACCGCGCGGTGCCGCGCAGCTGGTCCGCGGGACCGACGCAGTGGTTGCGTCTGACTGCGGGAGCGAGCCGGTGCCGCATGGATGGGCTGCAGGACCACCAGTCCCACGGAATGGTAGTGCGGGACCGTCTCGGTCCCACGTAACCACACTGCGGGAGAGGTATATTTATACAAATTTTTGTCACATAGGTATATAAACGCAACATAATAAAAAAAGAGGTATATTTTTAAATTTACCTCGTGAAACGACTGAATGAGTACGTGAAAACACGTTCATCCTCTTACAAAGCTGAAGTGCTTCGGGAGGATGCGCCCGGGAGGGAAGGAGGAGAGTGACGTTGGGAGCAGAATTTATTTTTTAAGTAGGTAAAGAGGTACAGATGATGATTACCGCTGATTCCTTCATTTCCAAGATGTTAGACAAATCTGAATCGGACTCGGAAAAGAAACACATCCACTCTATAAAAAAATGGCTACCATGTGCAAACACATGCATCAGGTTTATAAAGATCTAGATAAAGATTCTAACTCTAGCATATCTGATGCCATGATGCATGGTTTGAGCTTGGGAAACGCAATGTAAAGATAATACAAGGTCATGGCACCCGCAAGCATACATCTTATATATAATAAGTGTACAACATTCTTTCTTGGGTGAATGCTTATATCAAAAGAAAATTTTCCAAGTACACATACAATGATACAAAACGACAGCTTTGTTTGCCATGTTTATGGTGAAGACATCCATAAAAGAAAAAAAAACATGAAATCTAGCTACTCCTTGTCATGGTAAGGAGAACACATCGTAAAGTAACTCAAATCGACATCGCCGTAGCTGGCCTCTTCAAAGAAGGTTATTCGTTTAATTTGCGGCCCATCTCAACATACTCCTTAGCCAAGGTCGGACCTGATCAGAGGTCAACTTTCTTCGCAAGCTTTGTATAGATGATGCGATTATCCCTTGCAGAATTGCTCTCAACAAGGGCGATTTGAACCAAATCCTGCAGAGAACAAACAACATTTCAGCGTTAGACACCAAAGCAGGCATCAAAATTGATCAAATCAATGACAGCAAAGCGGGGATTGATGTAAACACGAAGAAACTTTTACAACGCAAGTGCACGCGCACCTACATGCTGAGACGCCATTTGGATATTTTATTGATTAGTTTCATTAAATCCACAATAAAATATATCCTGACAGTGCATTTATGATATTTTATTTATTAGTTTCATTAAATTCACAATAAAATATTGTTGACAGTGCATTTATTTGTTATTTTAGATGTTGCTGTATTTTTCTATAAAATAGATCAAAGTCGGAGAAATTTGACTAAAGACAAAACTAAAATGACTGATAATATGGAATGGAGGCAGTAATAGGTTCAAGTATCTGACCTTCACATCCCTGTTAGATAAGAACTTCCCCAAATTATGAAGAATGCACCTTAAATCATCCACCTGCCGTTATAAGATTAGAATAATGTGACTTTGAGCACCTAATAAAGGAATTCTTTCCAAAAAAACCAATAGTATAATTTAGGTAAGGTCTATATCCTACCTTCAAATAACCGGCTCTGTTTTGGTCGAAGTATCTAAAAGCCTAAAAGGCAGGCAAAAGATCAGACGTCAGCAGATAAAGCAGAGTGCATGTAACATAATTTTAAGTTGAGTTATGGCCATTCTTAATCTCTTGGATACAGCAGCAAAAGTTACCTGCAGCAGCTCTTTATCAACGACCTCATCTTTTGTTGAATCACCTTTTTGTGATCTAGTTGTCTTTACCTCCTTACCAACTGCCTTGTCACCTTTCTCCGATACAGATTGTTTGCCCTCCACTGAAGCAGATTTTTCAACTACAGACTGTTTGTCCTCTCCTGAAGCAGCTTTTTCAAGCATATTAGCATTGTTTTCTGACTCACGCTCCTCTGTGTTCTTGTTTCCATCCTCTTCAGTAGTTACTTCCTGCTTGGCCTTATCATTCAAATTATCTTCATTCTGCAGCATAGTAAAATGAAGTGCCAGATAGTAGACACAGAATAAGCATAGTTAGTTCAAAGGCCCACAGCTTTTACATAAAAGACCAGATAGTAGACACAGAATAAGCATAGTTAGTTCCAAGGCCCACAGCTTTTACATAAAAGACAAACTTAGCATAAATGAGCAACCGCTTCAGATGTGCAAACATAAAACATATGGTAGAAACTTAGCACATCATAAATTAGTCTCAAAAGGTGAACTCAGGCACCGGATAAGACTGAATGTATGCAACAGCCCAGGATAAGATTGACAAGATCAGTAATTGCCTGTTTGCAACTAAACATTAAAGCCCAGAACTTGATTCCATTGGAACCAATAAGGTATGCTCCAATTGTAGAATTATATACTCCACGTTTCGACAATAAATAATTGAGAAACCAGATGAAAGCATGCATTAATCTCCCATGAGACGGGAGATGAACTTAAACACCGTATCAACAAGCATATATAGTTCTATACAGTTATGAAGCAGCCAGCTATTCATTAATAAAGAAAGTGCTTAGAAAGTAAACAAGCCCACTGGTATGCCGTATGACAAATATGAATATATGTAGGATGCAAAATTTGCAGAAGACAATACCTGTTCTACCAGTTCCTCAGCAGCAGCTTCATCCATCTCCTCATCATCTTCATATAATTCTACCTCTTCAGGATCTTCTTCATAATCAGGCTCTTCATCCTCCATTTTCTCATCAGCTACAGGCTCAACATGGACAGCTGCTGAATTATCCGTGTTCATGTTTTCCTCACCCTCTTTTATAAGTTCTTTAGGGGGCGCTGTCGAGTGATCTGCACTCATCTTCTCCTTGCCCTCTTTAACCAGTTCATCCTGGGCAGCTGCTGAGTGACCCGCATTCATCTTTGTCTCATCATCTTTATTGGGTTGGCCAGCTGAATGAGCTGTACCCTTACCCGCTTTTATCATTTCAACACTTTCCCCTTGATTACTCGGGCCACTTTCACTTAAAGTTTCATCATTTGTCTTGGGCCGCTTCTCTGATGTTTTCTTGTCTTCCTTCTTTAGATCCTCTTCTCTTTGGCGTTTACGCTGATTCCTCTTGATAACATAGCGCTTATATAATTTCTGTGGAACGTGTAAAAGATCAAAGAAGAGTCATTTTCTTCAGAATGCTCCAAAACCAGGAATGATTGAGGACAATCAAATTGAGCAGCAAATATAAGCTATTAATGAAGAACACAAACATAATATATAGCTGCTAAGCAGACCACGCCTCCTCAGGTTGCAACATCCATGACAGAATTTGGACCATTACCATGTAATATAATTGCTACGTAGAAGTATTACGGACGAGTATGATTCGCAGTACTCACTCAGCGTGCACCATTTTTTCTTTTTAATGATACTCAGATACCAAATTTTAGATTTGAACAGTATACAGAAAGTAATACTTATTCTGAATCAATTACAAAAAAAAGGAAATACCAGTTCTGAAATTACATAAGCATACCAAACTAACCTGTACAGTTTAACAGAAGAGACGTTACAAGATAATCAATACATGAGAAACAAAAAAGAGAAAAATGAATTTAATCGAACAAATAAATTGCCAATCGTGTGCTTAAGGTACAACGTCAGGCAGAGCTCAAAGGAGTTTACCTCAAGAAAAGATAATATAACACAACCCATCTTGTGTTGAAGCATTTCACTGAAAGACTCGGCAAACAAAGAAAGCTGAAAGAGACACAGAATTGCACATCAGAGTGAAACCACATTAGCATAATCTCAACAGTAAGAAATTTATTCGAAGTATGATATGATCCTAAATAAGGAAGTAGTTAAAAAATTATGAAGCACAGTGACAAAATAAGTGAATTACTAGCTAATAAAGAAAGCAGAGTAGAATACTGACCTCAAATACTGACTCCTCCAGATCGTTGGCCGTATAGTCAAGGAGGCCATCCAATGAAAGGGATGTTGATCGGACCTACAAAACAGAATTGGTTCAATAAATCTCTAAGCAACTTCTAATAACATGTACAAGCTAACAAGGAATAAAAAAAAACCAAGGAAATTAAAGCATATTAGGCATACTTTAGAGTCTTTACTCCTTTTGGCCTGAAGAATGAATCCTGGATGTTTGGGAGGCTCATCAGATTTCTTTTTTTCTTTAGTATCAGTGAGTGACTTTTGCTTTGAATCCGTCTTCTGATCTCTACTCTTTTTCTCTTTATCATCCTTTGCCTTATCATTTTTCCCATCTTGCTTTATATCCTTTTGTTTTAGAACTTCCTGCTGCTTAATCTTATCCCCATTGGACTTCTGGTCAACAGGCAACGACTGCCCCTTTTCCTCCTGTTCCTGTTCTTTATTCTGTTTTGAGACATCTTCAGCTGGAGCTTTTGAAGCTTCTTCAAGTTTAGCCTCTGAAATCACAGCACCACTCAAGACTTCATTATTCTTCTCTGGCTGAACCTCCACTGCTTGCTTACTTGTTTCAGCAGGGGCAGTCGAATCACGAGCTGACCCAGAAGGCTTTTTCTTAATAATCCTTCTAATTACTTTCTTCTTTCCAGGTTTCTTGCCCTCAGCCTCTTTTCCAGCATCCTCACTTTTTTGCTGGACTTGCTCTTCCACAGCTACACTTGCAGTTTCTGGTACAATGTTCTTGTCCTCCTGAGATGATTTACCAGCTGAAGTTTCACCAGTTGGTTTTTTTCGAACTACTTTCACAACCTTTTTTATCACTTTCTTTTTCGTGGGCTTTTTATCCTCAGTTGCATGGTCAACAGAAGCTTCACCTGAAGTGTTCCCTTCAACACCCCCACCCTTCTTCTCAATGTGTTCCTCGACTTTATCAATATTTTTTTCCTCAACTTTACCAAGATTTTGTCCATCATGCTCGGCAGGTTTCTCCTTTCCATCTTTACCCAGCAGATCCATATCATTATCAACTTTCATATTTTCAGCAGCATTGTGGCCAGCATCCTCCTTTTGATCAACATCAGTACTTTTACCCTGGCCTAGTTCTCCTGAAATTGTCAACAATTCGGTTCATTTATTTGGTTAGTAGGCATTGATACAAGCTATGTAATTATAAGTGAATATTCAAACCTTGCTTCTGTTTGCTTGCATCAGTTGGGCTCTAAATACAAGGAAAAGAAATTAAGAATTGTTAGTAGTGCTTCAAAAGGAAACAAGTATGCTCTGTAATCATAACAGCAAACTAACCTTCTCCTTCTTCATAATCAGCTGCTCCTTTTCTGTCCTTGATTTCCTATATGCAGTCCAATTTTTCTTCCATAAATCCACTGAAGGTAAGCATTCTGACAGGTTTGGCACAAAAACTACAGTGATTTCTTTGTGACTGAAGAGTCCATCTTTGCCAACCCTGTTGTAATGGATCTGTAGTAATATGTTTGCATTAGTAACTGTGACTCCAGCAGTAATACTTAACCAGTTATCTAGAGTGAAGTTAGTAGACTTAATTATTGGGACAGATGATCTAATCGCATTTCTGGAAGCAACTTATATCAGACATAAACAGTGTTTAATATCACAGCTGTAACTGGCCACATATCACTCACTGTGGAGAATATGGCTAGTTTTGCTAGAATTTAGCTCAAGTCAAACCTTCTATGATGCTGATATTGTCAAGATGAAAATTATACAAAGAAAAAAACACCTCGGTAATTAAAAGAAGATTGGGGTTATTAATCAAAAGAAGAAAGTGCGACGGTTCAAAACAAGAACTCCAGAGAACCAAGGTGACCCCACCTTTTTTTGAACTAGCAAAACAGTAATATTTTCTTAACCCTCGATAAGTATTAGAGAATTAGGTCATGTTCACAAAAAAATCATTTGAATAAGAAATTAAAGCCGGATGGCTACCTGGTTAGACCACAACTGCAAAAATAGAAATAAATATCCTCCTATCCAGCAGAACATCCAATTTAGACCATTTTGGGTAATATGAGGATCTAACAAAAGGATGTCATTTTCCTTTAAAAGAACATAAAATAACAAATATTTCTTTGTAGAAAGCTCTGGGTATAATTGCATAGGTACCTCAAGAAAACGGTTCCACTGGGTACAATTAGAGAGATCAACTTGAACCAGTTCCTTAACATGTCTGTCCATGAAGAATTGTGACTTTCAGTATAATGGCAATATGCAATACATCCATGATCCATTATGCATTATTAAATACACAGTTCTAGTGGTGTACCTGATAGCAGTCTGAATCAAGCAAGAAGGGTCAACTACAGGGTCTCCACCGTCTATTGCTGCATTCCAAGGGCCCCCAATTGCAAAAAGTGAACGATCCCTCTTGAATACAGCAAATTTCAAGATATTGTTCAGATGCACCACTCGTTCATCTGTACTTCTCAATGACGTTATGTCAGCAAAGGCACTGTTGCTCATGCCGCTCATCAAAAGCACCTGCACAAGCCATGACCATGAAATAAAAGGGCATCAAAACTTTAGCAGCACTCTTTCAAATCAGGTCTACTGAAGCATGGCATCTGTACCACTACCAGGTCAACTTCATGGTTCTTAACATCAACAAAAATTACACATGAAAAGTATGAACCAGGAAACACAGCACGGCGACACTTAATGCATTTAGATAAGGTAAGGTGGATCAGCAGTATTAGTTATACACTTCATGTCATTGCATGCAACAAAAAATTGGTCTGCAAGTTTTTACTATTACAATGCCATCTGCAATATGTTTCCAACATATGTTAAAGCACAACAGCAGGATGAGAACCCAAAATCAACAAAATCTCTAATTAGACACTGATCAAAACAACTCAATATAACTCATAATTTCAAATAATTACAAAGGTAAAGACAAAAAACCTTTGCATTCCAAATGATTTCGGAAATCTTGGTGCTTGATGTTTTCCCAGAGGTAATCACTGATCCTTCATCAGTACTATCATCAACTTCATGGATGCCATGCTCCAAACTGTTTTACGGCAGCAGCAGCAACATAGAAGACCATTACTAGGAAGTATAAGCACAGCAACCAATAGAACATGTAATGAAGAACTATATCTAGTTACATCTTTCCAATAAAAATATACCTCACAGGTGTGTGCAGCGAAAGATTTAGGCTTTCTTTAGTCCAATTGAAGACAATCTACAAAGCAGTAAGTCACAAATAAGCCCAAAGAACAAAAAAGGGAAATAATAGTCCAGAATGACATGGGGTTCAACATTCAGATTTTGAGTTTTCAATCAGCAACAGAATGCACAACCTTAGAAAAATCTGGAGCAATTGATAGCCTAGGATATCTTTTTGTCAAAGATAAATAGTCCCTCTCATTATCCACCAAGCGAAATGGCAAAACCTGTACGGAACCCAATCAGCAATAAGACAACCAGCATAATAAGCAACAAAATAAAATATTGCATAACTGTACATACAAAAATAAAGGATGTGATGATGCAATTTGCGAATAAATAGGAAATGGAGAAAGGAAGACGCCATTCACAAATTCTTGATCATATCCTCTGCAGTATGATTAAGTTGTGAATGATCTTCAGATTTGAAGGAGGCATCTAATGATTTTCCACATCACAAGAATATGGCATCAGAGATTTTTCGGGTACCATAAAACAAATCAACTACTGGACAAGGAAGGATAGGGGAAAAGATGGATAAAATAACTGGAAGTCTGAATCCCCGTATTTATCAGAGAAGGGAAGTTTCAAATATGGGTGTGTAACTTGACAAAGATACAACAGAGAAATGGCTTCAGAAGGACAAGAATCAAGGGGGCTTGAAGACCAGAGCACATCAAGGAGGCCAGTGGAGAACCAACATTATCAATTGACTTCTGCAAGAACACTGACAAACGCAACTACTCATTTACCTTGCAAATATATTCTCTCTTTATTTCTTTAACAGGTGAACGATGCCTTCAGGAGAACAAACGAAAGCGTTAGTTTAAAAAGCTGCACGAAAGACGAAGCAGCAACCTATTGCATCCACAAAGCTACAGAGAAAACATGGAGGTCCACCTATGCACAGCATCACGCCGAGGTGAAGGTCGCCGCAAAGGCTTCTCAGCTCTAACAGAAGAAGAACGCCGCCGATCACCAGGAGTTCTAGGTGGAGTGTGCTCCCTCCTTGAATCAGCAGGGTGCTTCCTATCCCGTTCCCTCTCCTTCATGCGACGTTCACGAAGACGTTCTCTTTCACGTTCAAGTTCCCTTTCTCTTTCACGTTCTCTTAGTCTTTCACGGTCCCTTTCCCTTTCACGCTCTCTTTCACGATCTCGTAGGTCTCGCAGCTCTCGTTCCCGTTCACGGTCACGTTCCTTTTCTCTTTCCAGTAATAGGTCCCTTCGACGTTCTTCATCTCTTAGATCCAGTTCACGACGATAACCAACCCGATCAACAGCACGTTCATCAACCATGGAGATGCCTGGATGTACACGGGATAAAATGCTATCTCGGTAATCAGAATCCGAAGAAGGATGGAGAAGACCTTTCCCTGAGGCATAGTCCCGTCCAGGGGGCAGACCCATCCCATAACCGCTGCTTGATGACCCTTGCCCATAGGAGAGGCTATCAATGTTTGTCCTAGGAGCTCCTCCCAACAACGAAGCTGACTGTTGTCCTCCATATGGGGCGGTCCCAAGAATGGACAAGTTGCGATGATCAGCTTCAACTCTTCCATATGCACCAATATCCTGCGATCCTTGATGGATTGGAGCAGACCTTCCTGCAAAGTAATCGGCTTGTCTGCCAGAAATGCATACTTACTCAGTGCATGTGCTATGTTTTGTTGCAGTCATAAAGACAAAGGATCACTAGTGATTTACGTTTCCAAGGATATCACTGAGTTATATCATAATAACAAACAAGAACATGATCCTAGGGCAGAAATATTTGGAACAAGCACATGTTCATTCATTCAATGCGCTATTTAAACTGAGTAATTAAGGTATGATAATATGAATCAGAAACCTGCTGCACTCATTTATATGGCCTGACTAAGAGCCGACATACCTTATATCAGATCCAGACTGCAGTTGGGGTTTCAGCAGCTGTGGATGGCGCATTGATGAACCCTGAAAAAAAAACAGCAGGATTAAGTTTATGAAAAGCCAGAGAAGGGAAACGAGCAGAACAAAGTTTTGTGAGGGAAAAAATAAATCTACCTGCTCCATATTTGAATGCATTGTTAAAGTCAAAAAGGAAAGGATTACTGAGAAGACAAACAAAAGAGATAGGGCGCGGGAAGGGTGCGGGGGTGACCTGATGGCCTCCAGAAACATGCTCGGGATATCTTCTATCCAAATCAGTAAGCCCATCTCTCCTGCCAAGATTAGCTGAGTGATCACCATACATTCTTCTCTCTAATGTATAATCACTACCATACTGGTCTAGCTTTTGTCCATAACCACGCACAGCCATATAGTCATCATTTGGTCTTGCTATGCTGGACCCTACAGATCCAGACGAGAACTTGGATGGCTCAGGCAAATTAGGAATACTAGAAGAAGCCGGACCTTTGCCACCAAGTCCACCAACCTGTTGAAAGGGTAAATTGAAAGTTCATTTGAGACACTATGCAACAAGACAACTAAAAGAAAAATGAGAAGGCAGTTTCAACCATCAGAGAAATCGAATGGTAAAGCTAAAAACAGATAGGCAGTAGAGAAGGGCATTGCAATGCACAATGAGGGAACTTGGCAAAAAAAACTAAACCAAAGGGAATGAGTAGTTTGCCAATAAAACCAGTTTCTTTTTCCATATATGCCAAGACACCAAGTCAGTTAATACAACCAATTGACATAAACGATCATATGCTCGAGATTTACTAATTTTACTTTCAAACAGTGCCACTTGTTTTATAAAGTGTAGAGCATGGTTCCCATTTTGAACGAATTGTTCCATAAGGTATCATCAACTCCTGGATTTTGTGGGAAATTGTTGCTTCAAACTAACAGAACTGGCAAATTTTTTTTATGGTCAAAGTGAAAGCAGTAATCAATAGGGTCAAGTATTTGCAAACGCAGGGAGTATTAACAAGCGACAAATGACAGTTGGTGGCTGAATAAATTACATGGAGCCAAAATCTAAAAGATAGAAATTTTTCCTGTTATATACTAGCTAACAACCTGCTGTGTGCCGTACACTGAAGCGTAAGGCCCTCCATACTGCCCAGCTGCACCCTGCCCGACACGGGCGCCAAATCGACTACCATCAGCACCACCCGTTGCTGCCGAGGACGAAAATCCACTGCTGCCAGGCTGCATGAGTCCAATCAAAACAACATATGCATATATGAGAACCGGATTAGGTACCGAAGCAAAAAAAACACTAGATAAGCAGGCATTTCAGGGACTCACGATTTGGCCATAGGATTGCTGCCCTCCGTAACTTTGCTGCTGCCCATAGGGATTGGACCCTTTCGGCGGAAACATGGCGGACGCCCCGCCCGCCTAGGGTTTGGCCGACCCCCCCCAAATAAAAAAAAAATCCGCGACCACCCGCCTCCCTTCGAGATAAACCTAGAGAGGGAGACCGCATTAGGGAGGACACGCGAGGAACCTCGGATCAATCCATCCCATCCATGGACGCGGGCAGGAGAGCTCCCACCCCGACGCGTTTGAGGAAAAGCGAGAACCAAGTCGACGCTAGGGTTTACCTGTGTGGTGGGGAGGGGGCGGACGAAGCGACGGCGATGCGCGCGGTGAGAACCTGCGTCCCGCGGCTCCAGAGGAGGACGGGCGGTGACTCCGCCGGTGGGATAGCGGCGGCGGCGGCGGCGGCGGCGAGGAAGGGTTAGCGAGAGAGAGAGCGAGGAGGGGGTCTAAGCCTAGGAGGCTGTCCTTTTTCCTTTTTATTTTGTACTTTTTTTCCCCTCTCTCTTGAGCAAATGGAGTGGGAATTCCGAAAAGACCTCTGCGATTAACTTAATTTACAATTTGATCCTTGTTTCAATTCTTTCGTATCAAATCCCGGAATTCGAGGTAGTACGGGGTGGTTTTTTGGATATTTCCACGGATGTAATAAACGCTGCGAGTCTGCGTCGACGTGGGCCGTCGCTCGTGCTCCGTTGGATGAGCAGGATCTACACCAGCAGCCGTCCATTGGTACTGATATATGTGGGCCACCTAATTCGGCCCAGCTCAGAAGGTAATGATGGGCCAATCTCATTCAGCCGGCTTCGTTCGAGTTTCATTGGGTCGCAGAAAAGCTCTGCTTTGCAAATCAGTAAGGGTCTGTTTGGAACAGGGGTGGAGCTGGACCTCAGCCAAATAGTTTCAGCTCAACCAAAACTGGAAGTGGAGTTGGATAAAGCTCTCTCACAAAATGTACTAGAGTTGTGTAGCTGGGTTTAGTCAGCTCCACAACTCCACTCCAGACTTAACTCTTGGAGCTAAATTTAGGAGTTGGAGGTGTACCAAACATGCCCTAAATTTCACGAATCATAATATTTGGGGTTTTGCGTTATATGTGTTGGAGCTAAATTTAGAAGTTGGAGCTAAATTTTGTTGCATGGTTTTGTCTAATCTTTTTTTAACGAACCTGGTTTTGTGTAATCTAGCTCTCGTGGGAGATGGAATTCTTACAAACACAGTAGTACTAACATTTTAGACATTGTGCGTAATGCAAATGTAATTATGCAAATGCGTTTTGTTTGATCTGTTTATAGATCAAACCACTTGTAGGTGTGTTTTAAAGTGTCGATGGACAAGGGATGAATCTGAGTTTATGATAACTTTTCAAAGGGACAAACAAATAAACTAAATATTAGTATAATTTTCAAAAGCAGATTTTTAAAAGTTATTTAGGAAATGTAGTTTGGAAGCGTGACTACAATAATACATATGGTGTCATCGTTTCGCCTACAACAAGTTGTAACTTTTGTAAGAAAAATATTTTTTAGCACAAAAGGCAATGGTAGAAAGTAATCTTCGATAAAAGAAAATATCAAAATAAAATCTAAAATTAAGTTTAAAAATTAAATTTTAGTTACAGCTAAGTTAAAAAGAAAATGATAAACTATCGAGTCCTAATGTCTCGACCATTTACTATGTTTACTCTATCTTGCATATGAGTGAGATACTAACAACAACTAAAACGAAAAGTCTACATCACCCGCGAAGTTATTAATCTTCCCTTAAATCACTTTAAATTATTAAAACCGCGTATGATGCAACTTAAGTTTCTAACATCGGACCACATGTGGCTTCAAGAGCTTAATTTATCACCAGCAGAGGATGTTGATATATAGTATATAAAAGACAACTTAATTAAACAGATCCTACACATCCTATTCCCTGTAAGTAAAGGATGGCACGTTGTCGACGGGGGATACCCGTAGACCGGATATAGAGGGTATTGGGGTACGCTGGTACGAGGATCTACGTAATATGACATCAAGCAGACAGAAAACAAAGATTATACTGGTTCAGGCCCCTTGATAGGTAATAGCCCTAATCCAGTTGATATGGGATTATAGGATGGAAACCACAGATTACAAAGGGAAAAGCGGAACCCGATGATACCGATGAGGTCGTAATCGAACAGGTTCGACTAGATCTCCCGGCGACTTGGCTCCTGTAGGCTCCAACTCCGTAGGCTGTGGTGGATGTGTTGGCTATGAGATTCGATGCCTTAGGTCCTCCCGGGGGGTCCCTTTTATATCGCAAGTCAACTGGTCTCCAAGTAGGACTCGGAGACATCGGACCCGGCACGATACAATGACGACCCAGTTCTGTCCGAGTATGACTCCTTCCATCTGTGAACTCCATGATGAATTTCCTTAACGTATGCCGAAAACGTTCGTATACGCATATGTATACCATATCGATATGTGACGTATATCAAAGGGTAGAGGGTATATCTTACCCGTAACCTTGACCGTAGCCCCCGACTTCTGCTTAAATGAACTCGTGTAACCGATCGTGATTTCTGATGTCGAGGTTGTTGTCGTTCTCGGTGTGAGGACCGAGAGATAAGGAGTGATCGACAACGCCCAATGAAGCTCAACGGTCATGAGTGAATTTAAATTGAAGTTCGTAAAACTACCGCGCATAACGGACCCAGAAATTTCCGGCGGCAATCTCTCTCCTTTCCTTGGAATTCGCACCGTCGGAAGTGCGACTATTTAAGGGAGTTTTAGGGATCCAATTTGAAGTCCGCCGGTTGTGAAAAAACTCTCCAGCCTCCAAGCGTTCCTCATCTTCTCCGCTTCCGCAAAAACCCTAGCTAGCTCATCTTGGTCCTTTCTCCAGCGATCCCCGGCGGCAATGGACCTCGACAAGTCTACCTCAACCAGCGCGTCGCTGAAGAAGCTGCAAGAGGATGGCGCCCTTCCCGGTCGCGGGACCATGGAGAGAGAAGCAGGAGGTACTGAACCCCAGCCTGTCCTGGGTCGCATGGTTGCGATTGAGGACTATATTCTCTGTGGTTTTCTTCATCCGCCTTCTGAATTTCTTCTCTTGGTCTTTAGATTTCTACGGCCTTTCCTTGCTCCATTTGAACCCCAATTCCATCGCCTTCCTTAGTATCTTTTCACATCTTTGTGAGGCCTACATTGGGATAGAGCCGTTTCATGATCTCTTCCGCTTTTACCATCAGTTGCGCTGGATGGAACCTAAAAAAGTGTCCGGGTGTGTCGGTTTCCGACTTCGGGATGGCCTGAAGTCGCGATACATCCCCTTCCGGTGCCCCTCATCTCGCAGCAAATGGCGGGGGAGGTGGTTCTATCTTCAGATAGAAGATTCGGATCCAGTCTTCATTATTCCTACGGAGCAACCAGACAAGATTTCATCTTGGACTGCCAAACCCGCCTTGACCCCGTCCCTCCAATCTTTCATCGATATCATTGATGACCTCCGAGTACGGGGGTTGTCGGGGTATGAAGTCGCTGCCGACTTCATTGGTAGGCGGATCCAGCCGCTCCAGGCTCGAGCCCACCCAGCCTTTGACTATTCTAGGCCAGAGAACGCGACCCGGGTTTCTCCTCGGGGTATTTTTCTCGTAGTTAAATTGACTCTCTTATGTGCGTGTTCCTCCTGACTTACCGGATTCTGGTCTCGATCTACAGGCTTGAACAGTGCAATCGTGGAGCACCGCGTCATCCAATTGATGGTCAGCGACCCGACAACGGCGAGCGACGTCCCCGTCCCCCTTTGCGAGAGAGGGGCAGCCAAACGCAAAGCTGCCATCAATGTAAGTGTACTCAGCGGCCCTTTTGCATTTTTCTTCCTGGATCGCCTTGTGACTTTATGAAGCGTAGGCTCTCCCTCTGACTGATATCATCGGGCCGCTCGTGGACCATCAGGTGGCGGCGTCGCTGAAGGAGAAAGTAGCCAAGGAGGCGTTTGACACTGCTGCCGCTGCTGCCACAACGAGTGGCGGCAACGTTCCGAAAAAGGGGAGGAAATTCTCCTATGTGATCGGACATCGTCGGAAGACGCCCACCCCCTCGGTGAGTTCTCCTTGTCCTTCATCGCGTAGTCGGGAAACTTCCTCCTCATATCATGCTTGTTATACTCCAGGCCTCGGATGCGTCCCCCCCGCCTCCACGACGGCAGCGGCTTGTGACGCTTGGCGAGAAGTAAGTGGTGAACTTTGAGGTTTTATCACTTCATCGAGCTCTTGCAGCATGTCTCAATTGTAGCCTTTCATAGGGCGGCGCGGGCGAACGCGGCGCAAGATGGGTCCGGAGGGACTTCCAGCGCATCTCCTGCCGTGGCCTCGACAGATGTCGTGGTCGTACCCAGGAGCCGCGAGGTGACGCTGAGCGGCCTAGCCAGCGATCTCGCGGCTGGTCAGGGTCCGCCGACTGCCGTCCTCACATGGGAGGAGCTCCAGGTCGAGATGGGGCGCCTCCCCGAGGCTGGTGCTCGCGGTGTTAGCCGCGAGATCGCGGAGGCGAGGGCGGCGGCGGCGTCGTCGGCGAATGAGCGTGCTGACCGGCTGGCGCGTGATCTAGCGGAGGTTCGCGAGGACCTCCAGAAGATGAGGGAACTGGTGGCCGGTAACAAGCGACGACAGCAGGGGCTCGAGCATCGCATGTCGAAGCTCGAGAACAACTTGTCGGAAATCCGTGGCTCGTTGCGGGTCATCTACACTGGTCTGCACCAGCTCGCTGGGGAGTGCGGGATCAAGTCCACCATCCCGGCGAATCCCGATGAGTTCTCGCTGACGACTTCGCTTGCGGAGCTAGCGACGGCGATAGAGGCGATCCCCTCCAAGCACGCGGCCAAGATCGGAGAGGAGACGTCCAACGGGATCTATACTGGGGCGTGCCATGTCCTTGTGTGTGTGAGGCTGGCACACACTAAACTCGATCTGCGAAGATCTTGGATCAGGGGACGGCTAGCGATGCGCGCAAGGATATGATGGAAGAAGTCGGCGATCTGGGGGAGTCTGTCCTCCCGTTTTTTGAAGAGTAGGATTTTGGCTCTCTTCTACTCTTTAGTCATGCTTTGTAAAACTCTCATTGGCTCCAACTGCCTTTGTGTCTGCAGTCATCACCTTAGCTTTCTTCAGCATTTTGATCTTGAGTACTTTGTTGTCATCTGTAGAGATGTTGATGTCGAGGATGTTCAGCAGCACGGGTAGCCTGAGTTGCCAGTGATCATTCCAGTGCTTGCGTTCGAGCCACATCTGCAGGAGGGCGATGTAGCTCAAAATTCGCCTGTGGAAACGGGCATGGCGACGACTCCCTTAGGTTGGTTATCTTTGTTTTCATCTCCTTTACTCTTCCATCTGGATCGACTTGATTTGCTGTATTCTCGGGAGAGAAGAGCAGTTTGACTTAGTCGTTTCCATGCTCAGCAGACCTCAAGAGTGCGCTTGCTGACCAGGATCGTCGAATCTAG